TTTCCCTGGCAGTAGTGAAGGATTAGTTTGAGGGAATGGTAACATAATTTTGCTTTAATATTTCTTCAGTTTGTGGCTACTCTGAGAATTCATTTCTACAATAAAATCTACTTTTGTGACACTGAAACTCACTGTGTTGTTCCAGTGGCCTTGTTTCCTTGGCACAAAGAGTCCTCAAAAAGCAAAGCCTCTCTGTTAGTTGTTGTTCTGCATGTGCCATAGTGGATGCCTGTTCCCTTCTTGCTTTGGAGGTGATGAGTTTTTTGACCTGGTGGCATCTGTACAGACATGCTGTGGTCCATGTTCATAAAAATAATGTAATGATATATTGCTCCCAAGTTGGTTTTGGTTGATGTAGAGTATTTTTTGTGCTTCCCAATCTTTCCCAGGTTTTCATAATATTTTTTCAAGTTTGAATAGTACTTCTCTAGCTTTTCCTTTGTTTCCTACATACTTCTGTATGTAGGCAGGCAATAAATTTCTAGGAAAACTTCTTCTCCAAAAAACCCTTGGTCTTTGAGTTTCCTTTTTCAAACATGACCTCATCAAGATTTCCAAGCTTCACAATCTTCCCCTGTTGTGATGAAGTGCCAGGGATGGACACACCAAGGATCTTTATTGCTTTGGAGAAGCTCTTATTCTTTTTCCTGGCACAGGCAGTCCATTAAATGGAGAAACCATAAATGCAGAAAGATTATTATTCTGTCACAAGATAATGCAATTATAGTGTTCTCGGTATTTAATGCAGGGCTGATTTGGTAACTCAACAGAATACTGAAACTTATTCTGTTTTTGTTCCAGTCTCTTCTTACACACAAATTAGTATTGGTTTAAAGAGGTCTTATCTATTAAATTTAGGGTTATGCAGTGTACGTGCAGGAAACTAGAAATTAAGATGAGACTGTTATACCTGAAAATGCACATCTATGTAAACATTGTTGTCTTGAATTAATTGCAGTCTCTAAACTCCCACAAATATTTGTTAGTTGATATTTTGTGTACATGTGATCAGTGGATTATTTTGCAGTTATTTTAGAAAACATATTGCATATTTAACCATTCAAAATTATTTTCTGATTATATTTTAGTGCTTTATTTCCTGATTAGTTTTTTAATATATTTTCTTATTACTTGATAAAGGTAGTTGCTTAGTTGGTACATTTTTAAGTTGTTAAAACATTGCTTTTTTGATGTTGATGTAATTTGATTACCATTTGGCTGACAGAAAGCAGGTTATTTTTTATATATATATTTCAGCCTATTTGTTATTAACTTTGCCTGTGCATTCTCAGAGACAGATGTATATACTTTTGGACTTGGACAATATGGGCAGCTGGGACATGGCACTTTTATTTTTGAAACTTCAGTACCAAAGTCTGTGAAACACTTGAGGAGGCTTAAAATATGTAACATTACATGTGGGGAAAATCATACTGCTGTAATAGCAGGTACGTAAGTGAAAAATTCTGAAATGCACTTCTAGCAACTCTCTATTATACTAGAAAAGTTTTCTTTATAAAATGAGCAGTAGAAGAAGACATAAAGGGTGAGTGTCAGGAAGATGGAATTAAGCTTTTTTCAGTGTTGACCTGTGATAGGACAAGGGGTAATGGGTGCAAATTGGAGCATAGGAGGTTCAAGGTGAATATCAGGAAAAATTTTTTTCCTGTGAGGGTGACGGAGCACTGGAACAGGCTGCCCAGAGAGGTTGTGGAGTCTCCTTCACTGGCGTCATTCAAAACCCGCCTGGACGCCTTCCTGTGTGATGTACTCTAGGTGACCCTGCTCTGGCAGGGGGGTTGGACTAGATGATCTTTCGAGGTCCCTTCCAACCCCTATGATTCTATGATTCTATGATTCTATGATTCTATGATATGCAAACTTATAAGTAAGCTAGTGAGAAAGCCAGATTTGATATTAGGAATTTCTGATTGACAGCCATGCCATGCATAGCTCTGTACTTGGTATCTCCCAGGGAATTGTAACCTCATAATCATACCTTGCTAACAAGTATTCCTATTAAGAAGTCTTTGCTTTCCTGTACAATTTCAAGCTTATTATTTTCTTGTTGAGGATTTTTTACCAATTGTGTAGATTAAGTCTCACCTCAGACAGTACTTTGCCTGAAAATATTCATCTTTTTTTTATCATATTCATCTGTTGAAAATCTAAAAATAATTGTTCAAGTTTTGCTTTTGGAAGATAAATATTTCTTACTTGCATGGCCTGTTACTTTGTAATGGTTTTGTCCTAGCTTTGTATCGAATCTTTGTTATTAATAACATCTTTTTTTTTTCTACATACAGAGAATGGCCTCCTGTTTACTTTTGGAGATGGGCGACACGGCAAGTTAGGTCTTGGAGAAGAGAATTTTACAAATCGGTTTGATCCCACTCTGTGTTATAATTTCTTGAGATTCACAGTCCTTTTGGTAAAGCTTTTGTGCATATATATGTGAAAATACTTTTTATGAAACACTATATTAATGAGAGTTGAAATCTCATTATAAAATTAATTCTGTCTGTAACCTTTAATTAGTAGCAATACAAATTGAAAGAAAAAAGAAATTTTGTTTGCTTACCGCACTGTTCATTTAATGTAGAACATACTGGACTTGGACTGCACATATTTTTTTTAGCATTTTATTCGCTCCTGTTGTGCTATAGTGTTTTGGGCTGTAGAGCTATAGTAGCCTAAGAGTTAAGTATTTGCAGGTTTTAGATTGTTGGCAGTAGGGGGAAGCTAATATCTGTTCTGAAAACATGAGTGTCACCTTTTTAATTTTAGTGATTATTTGTACATTTTTAAACCTTAAGAAAATTTGAGGAGTTGCTTTTTTGAATCTGAATAGGATGAGAAGGCAGAAATATTTTTTATTGTGAGGGTATTTTTTTCACCTATTTCTTGAGTTTAGGCTAGAATTTAAGGAAATTTTATAAGAAGTGCTAAGGTTTTTAAACATTTTTAAAAGTGAAACCTCTCATATTTCTGTAATAATACTTTGCCCATTGAAGGGTATAGGACTTGCTATACATTTTGTGGATTTTGTGATAAAATATCTAGGTTTATATCACTGGAGCTACCAGTATTGTCCAGATTTGACGTGCATCAAAATAATTATCTCAAATCACTTGCAAATCAGTTGAAATATCTTCTTCCTTCTGTATCAATAATTTATCCTGTTTTCTGTTCAATACAAATGTATTGTATTGAAGCGAACATGGGTCGCTAATCATCAATAAACATAATTAAGTGCTTTTATCCTGCTAACATCATTAGAATATAATTTGGAAGCAATTTCATATCTCTTACTTTTATTATGTTTTTCTTATAATCTAAGCCTCTAGTCATGACTGTAAGAAACTGAGATCCTTGTATTGATACTTGCAAATGAAATAATCAGAACTGTTTTTGATGCCGTAGGTTGGTTGTGGTGGTTGTCACATGCTAGTTTTTGCTGCTCCAAGGCCTAAAGGATCTGAAGAAATACTCTTAGAAGATCTATATGAGGGCCGTTTGACTGCTACTATCTCTAAAATGAGTGGAGACTCGTTACTAACAAACACCTTACAACTAACATCAGCACGAATGCGGCGTCGAGAGAGGGTAAATTCAGAGCTGTTTAGAGTTGCTATACTTCTTTTAGGAAACAAAATTGCTTTTAAAGCTAAAATCACTGTGTACACCCAGTAGATTAATGTATCTTCTTAAGATAAATGTTTAATTTTCATGTATAGAAAGAACTAATATGTACCATGGTCCCAAAATTGATACAAGGAAAAGATAGGTACTGGCTAGATGTTACTTATTTATTTCTATGAAGATGACTGAAATTTGTTTTCTATTCTTTTTAAATTCTAAAATGCATAGACTGTTCCTTTGCATTTTTAAAAACCACCTAGAAATATTTTTTAAAAAGAACAAGAATGTGACTATTTGTTGTCCCCTCTGAGTCCTTGAGTATATATAAACAAGTTCATAGTTTATAAAATACCAAAGGCGAATGTTCTGCAGTTCGCTTAAAATGAACCAAAGATCTTGTAGCTACTTAAAATAGTAGCTTCTTCTCCTTTATCTTCACACACATTCCATGTGATTTCTTTGAGCAGCACAATGGGTTGGTTCATTTCACTTATCTGTCTGAAAAATAACTCTACCAGAAAACCATATTTATTTTCTAAAAGTATATTGATGTTGTGGACTGAATACCTCAGTGTTATTTGAGAGACTAGTATTTTCATTTTACATAAGAATCAAGGTTCTTTTTCTCCTTTGTATTTTAAGACTGCTTGAGAATATTGGGTAGAAACAACCTAAAATATCCTACTATGTAACACCCACACACCACACATGCCCCCCCCACAGTTTTAGGACTATAACTGGTTAAAGTATTAAAGAAATTTTGTTTATGCTTTTTATACAGTTACAACACTGTATCATCAGCTAAAAGAGAATACCACTGTTTAGTGTGAGAGGTTGCTTAGATTTTATTCTTCTATTCTTATTCTCAATATTTTTTTCATCTTCTAAACAAAAAGTCACCAGAACAGTTTATTCGAATGGCACAAACTCTGCCTCTGCTGGGAGAAAGCTTCTTAAAATCTTCACTGCCTGTGAATAGCAACACCAGCCCTCTCTGTTCTTCTGCAACAAGTCTTCTAAAGGCTGAACCCATGCAGGATAGAGACCATGAAAAAGGTAAAGTGTCCCCACATCTTGCTGCTTGTTTCTGATGATTATGTAGTTAGGCTCTCGTCATTCATTAACAAATGCTCAGTTTGAACGTGGAAAGTTTAAGTTCAGTCTTATCTTAAGAGGTTAGGCATGAAAGTTGGGAAATATATACAAGAAATTGCCTTGCACTGTTCATGCTTGGACAATGTGCTTAAAGACTCAGAGGAGGGTTGAGTGAAAAAAAAGTTCCTAAATTGTAGCTAAATTCTGGTTCCTTATGCCTGCAGAAACAGGACTTCACAAAAATCCTGTAAGATTAATAGCTACTTTCTCCATTTTCGCAAAAAATAAAAAGAATTACAGAAAAAAAAATTGATTAAGAACCATCTTGAAGACACATGAAGGCCTACAAGAGACCCTGGATAAGAAAGGAGGTCTGCTGATTCTTGCAGGATCTTTCTTCTTCACTTGGAAATAAGAAAGTACTCTTCACTCCTGTCACCTAAGATAATAAGGATTTGCAATATTCTAGCTAATGCAGAAGCCTGGGTAACAATGACAGCAATACAGCATTGGACTTGCACAGATTCTCTGGAGCAGTTCTGGACTTCATCTGGGTTCCTGGGCATGTGTGATTTCTTGGCAGATGAAGTGCTGAAGAGTGCAGAACGCAGTGCTTCTGTGTAAAAGTTAGTGCAGATTTATTGGACAGTCAAAACCAATCTGAAAGTCATTAATTGAGCTAAAATTAATGTGATTTATGTAAAACTGCCAGCATGTTCATTAGCATTTCTAGTTCCAGGAAAGCAATGCAGTGAAATTTGAGTTGTCTTTAAAGTCTTCTGAGGCCTAAAACCTTAGGGTCTGTGCCATATGAAGTTGGTCACATACTCGATGAACTTGAATTGAACCTGAAAATTATGTAGGTACTTTTTTGTGAGGCTGCATTGGAGTTAAACTCCCTGTCTCACCATCCATTACACAGGCAATGTGCAATGTCGGTAATATGGCTGCAGCTAATTTAGTCTAATTCATACACTATTATTAAGGAGATTATCCAAAAATTTTGTCCCATGTAATATTTATGCCTTGAAATAAAATGGCCAGGGACCTATAGTGCACTGAGGCCAGATTTCTGAGGAACATAGTACTGACAAAAAGGAACTGTTTTTGCTGTGTTTTAGGCTGGGGGAACGAGGAATCTCAAGACTTCTGTCATGTCAGTATAATAGAGATAATACCTATTTTGTAAGAGTGGAGTGTACTGTTTGCTATATACTGCTCATTCCTATGGTATTTGTTTACTTCCCTCTATTTCACCTTGAAGAAAAGAATCATCTAAAAGAAAAACCTGGTGAAGGCTCTGCAGAAGAAAATTCGGATAATGAAAAAAGTGACATAAACCTTGGAGATACAACTGACATCCTAAATATGGTAATGTATTCCACTAATGAATCTGTGATTCAATCATTTTTATGCAGGGGAAGAACAAAGCAGCTAAATCATGTTTCAAGTTCTAGTACAAAACTCCTGGCTAGCCCAGAGCATCATGTGTGGCACCGAGAAGTACTGACATGCTGTGAAATGAGCATACCTTTCATATCATCGTTATCCAATGATAAAGTTTGCTTTCATTTTCCAAGAAAAGTTGTAATGCGCGACTGAAGCAGTCCAAGTGGGGCAGTCCCTCCCCACCCTTTAGTTCTGGATATCAGAAAGAAAAGAAGAAGGTCACTGGATACCACATGGTGTTTTCTACCTCTGACCCCCCTCTACTTGATGATATCCAAGAGACAGAATTGCAGGAAATGAAGCAGAGAGCTGTGTTTTCCTGTATCTTCTACTACAGGTGGATCGTATTAAAGGGAAGACCAAAATAGAGACATTTCGATTATTTGGTGATCCTCAAGCATGTTCCTACATATTTCTTTTATTTTAAAAATATGTTCACCTTATCATTTGTACACCTTCTGAAAACATTGCGTTCTCTTGGTGGACAGGGCATGTCCTGTCCTTAATGCAGTGCATTGGAAAGAGAGTTGGGTTTTTTGTCTTTTTTTTTTTTAACTTCAGTGGAATGGAAACAAATGAGCAACTCACTGTGGACTCAGCTCAGAATATGGTGTCTGTTAAACTGGAAGGATTGTACATTTTACAGGAAACATTATTTGTTTTTACTTGACAGTACTTAGTAATTTAACAATCTGTGCATGACATTTATTTAACAGTTATAAAACTTTATTTTCATTTACAACAAAAAAATTATTTTCAGATATGATGTACAACATGGCCTTCATTAATGTACTGAGGCGTTGTTTATAGCATATTACGTGCTTTATGTCATAGAATCATAGAATTGTCAGGGTTGGAAGGGATCTGAAAGATCATCTAGTTCCACCCCCCCTGCCACAGGCAGGGATATCTCCCACTAGATCAGGTTGCTCAGAGCTCCATCCAGCCTGGCCTTATAAACTTCCAGGGATGGGGCTTCCACCACCTCCCTGGGCAACCTGTTCCAGTGCCTCACCAACCTCATGGTGAAGAACTTATTCCTAACGTCTAATCTGTAACTGCCCACTTCCAGCTTTGCTCCATTC